ATGTGCTTTATTCAATGTTAAAAGTGTCTAATGTGAGTTTGAATATTATTTTGCGTGATCTTTATAGCCATAGTGAAAGCAACAATAGATATTTTACCATTACAAACTTGTGTTAAAACTGTGGACTCACTGCGAACCAACATCCATAACAAAGATGGTATCACTCACTCAAAACTGTTCAGTCCATTCACATTTGAATCATCAATTTTCAGTGTCCACTTTTCTTTACTTCACACTTGCCATGTTTTTGCTGTCACATCGTATATATACACTGGATGCGACAAAGCATTGCAAATCATTTGAACTTTGTGTCAGCACGTCATAAATAGAACGAGTCAGCAGTTTTCTGTCGGGGATTTATTGTGTCGCGCCGCATCCAAGACAGCATGACTGATTATAACGAGTTCTGATGCTGCGTTTGAATTTTCATGCCACATTATTTGAAATTAGCATGGGCCAAACATTTTTCTCTCCGGCCCGCAGGCCACCTATTGAGGAACCCTGGATTAAACCATTTATACACAAACCCCGGACAAAAATGTACAGATTTTGTAAACAGTTCTCACTGAGAATTTATTCCACAGCTACAGTATGACAGTTGTCCATGCTGTGCTCTATAAAAAGGAGTGTCTCAGAAGCTTGAATGACATTCTGACATTATCACTTGTCGAGTTCACACACACCACCTACAAGTACGCATATTTATGGTCATGTATTAAAGAACATGTTTACTTGTTTACTTAGAGTGATAATCTGAGTGTGAATTGCAAGTAAGAGAAACATTATGTGCAAAGTAATTAAATATGAAATATAACTTAGTAGTGCTGTGGCAGGTGGAATAATACACTAAATTGTAGCTTGCTTGACTTTAAAAAAATATTTATAGTGAATTTATAAACATAACAAATAAAAAGTAAGGGTGGGAATCTTTCGGTACCTCACGATTCATATTGATTCTTGGGGTCACAATTTGATTAAAAATCGATTCACGATTTGTAAATTTTGAATCACGCTTCACAATTTTTCATAACATTTTTTGTGCACATGGACATCAAACTCACCAGTATTTTGATACCAAAACACACCAGTCTATACTACAGGTAGTCCTGACTCAAGAAATCAGTGTTTCCTATTAACTATTAACTTCCTACTAAATCAAAAATATTTCACACTTCAGATCAATAATTAATAAACACTTGTCCTCGCTGAAAATGGGGCAGATGTAATTGTTTTTCCTCCTCCATTGCTGTTACTGTTTTGTTCTGACAACATCAAGTTATTATTATTATTATTAGGGATGTGCCCGAATAGTGAATCTGTATTCAGAAAGGCACAGAAAACGAACAACGCATACTACCACTAAAGCCACTAAAGGGACATGGTTAGATGCTTGCTAGCGGTTGCCTGTTACAGTCAGGGATGCAATGGTTATAGATTTTGTTGGTACGATTATTGTCTGAGGAATAATCACGGTTTTACGATTATGGCGATTATTATGCATTTATTCATTTCCCAACATTACTAATGTATAAAATCACATGAACACTCTTTAGATATTAAAGTGTTATTTATCGCTGGCTTTTGAAACAGAAATAACACAGTAACCAACAACACAGCACAAAATAATAATAAACAAAAGACAAACAAAAGTCTATCTCTCCCATTGGAATTAAAAAAGGTGACCTCTGCTCTGTAAACATCCATGACAGTATTTCTCTTTTGAAAATAACAAATGGAAATAGATCACAAAAGTATTTAATGTTTTCAGTTTGTACATTCTTTACATTTCTTTTGGACCTGGGGTAAAGAATTTGGAAACATGGTGAAAAAAAGATCTTGCTGGTTTTTACTTATGAATAATACTACAACAGGGATAGTAAATAACAAAGTTAATGAAGTAGCCTATTATTAATATACTCTCTCTCTCTCTCTCTCTCTCTCTCTCTCTCTCTCTCTCTCTCGAATAATGAATTCAAGTAGCTAAATGTTATAATTAATTAAATCAAATAAATGTGATCTTACCACACTATTTAATCTCTTTCTGATCTGAAGTGGGCAGAATGCTGAGCTAACGAGCTGTAGCTTCGTGTCAGGTGGTTCTTGCCTTCAAGTCGTGCATTAAAATCGTTCAATGTACAGAAAGCCGTGCATTATCCCTTATGTATTCGCTCTTTAGCAGCAGTTTTTTACAGCAATATTTAAATGACACCCTGGTCATTCTTGGTGTACCCAAAATGGTCCCACACTATCGACAAGCATTTCTCTGGTGGAAATAAAGCTTCGCTGTTTGGTCCCTCTGTCACAGTTAATCTAATGCATGTAGTAGCCTCCGTGCCTCTGATAAGCACGTCATTTTAAGCTGGTGCACCGCTAAGTGTAACTTTTTTTCGTTTTGCGCTAGCTGCAACAGTTCCGTTCCGTGTAACAGAAACACTCGGTTTAGCGGAACCTTTACGATTAATTAACCGTGACGTTT